CTGATCGTGCCTAATCCAGAAGTGGACTACGGTCTGGTGGCTAAGATGATTAATTGCCTAGCTTTCGCTGCAAAGGTTTGTTACCTTTTCAAAACTAAAAACTAACAGTTATAATATATCCCATCTATTTAAAGGTTCGCGGTGCTCCAGGAGAGATGGAAAACATTCGTGAGCACTCTGAGATAATTATGGCTGTGGTGCAGCAGGGCTGTGAGTCGCTGATCCCAACTGGACCTCTCAACAACAACAATCTCCGCACACTGGCGGACGCCTTGGTGGAGGCGGAGCATTGGTCCTTAGCCCTGGAAGTGCATCTAAAGTGCGGTTTCGCCACAACGGGTGTGATGGCGGCTCACGGACTAGCATGCCTCCGAGCCGGCTGCTACGATGCAGGTAAGCTCATGATGTCTTTATCCTTTCAAGACATTTTCTTAACTTGATTTAATTTCAGCCCGTGAGAAATTCGGTCATTGCATGACCCGCCTTTCCAGTGAGCAGCTAAATAACAGCATCTGCAAAAACATGTTTGAAGTGGCTACCGCAGAGGCGGTTCTGTTGCCCAGAAAGCGACCACAACGAGGTCCGGCCCTGCTTCAAGAAATCCTGCAGTTGATAGCCGCAATGCCTCAGTCGCAACCCCAACCAGAGACCCTTCACCGGGCGTCACTCATCCGTAGTTCCAATTCCTCGCTGGCATCGCTTTTCACCCGACGTCGGGAGCCCTACGTCCAGCAGCGTCCTCTTCAGGAACCGGCTCTTAATGTTATGAATGCATTGGCAGGACTTAAGAACATAGCAAAGGGACAGTATGGCGGTCAAATTCAGGCTAGCGAGGAGAGTCGCCGACAGGAACGCGGCTTCGAGGAATCCCTGCACTATGTGCTCACCTACGGTAGCCACAGTGACATCCTAAACTTCTGATGAGGCGTGAAGAGCTGCGGGCAGCACTCCGTTACTGGCAGCACCAGCAGTTGGACGCGGATCTTTTCATCCAACACATCTTCCAACCGCAACTGGCCAACGGTGGCTGAACGTTTTGATAGATGAACTGCAACAGCTGGACGATGCTCAACTCAGTGCCTGGCGATTGCCGCTGCTGCAGACCTGCGCCACCTGGAGCAAAACCAGCAACTTAGTTCGCTGTACCAATTGCAGCTGCTGCTCAAGGATCCCATTCGAGCCAGCATGACGTGTGTGAAGTTCTACCCCTGCAGTGTGAGAACTTCCAAAAGCTGCATGCCAACGCCCAGCACTTGATGTCGGCCCACATGCACCTCCAGGGGGAACTGGATCTGTCCGAGTGGGAGCACCTGCAGCGGCAGCAGGGGCGAAGAAGCAGCGTTGCAAGTGGAGCCAGCGTTCGAGGTGCCTGCTTCGCCATGCAAATGGATGCCAGGACTCTCAATGGGCACATCAATACCATCCGGCGACAGTTGGAAGTTGCCAAGTTTTTGGCGAAATGCGAAAGTGATCAGGCGCCAGAGGAGCCACTCAAAACTATGCAGATTCTGAACAGGTAGGAAATGATTCTCATTTATTTGAACTTACTTTATACTACAAATTGCTTTTCTGGAAGATACGACTCGAGTCTAGTCGAGGAACGCTGCCCACTCTGTTTGAAGGCGCCGCAGATCGCATCCAGATCTGCATCCTGATCCTAATGTGCGGCAAAAACATAGACGAAGGTTTTGGACTGGCTTACGGGTAAAAAATTATTACTTTAATTTAAGTGTTATTTTTATTAATATTTTATGTATTACCAGAATTATGCAGGAATACAAGCTGGCTGCCATCAAGGTGTTTGGAGCCACAGCCAAATACCTGGCCAGGAACCAGCGCCTGGCCGAGGTGGAACGTCTACTGGACTGCATAGCGAGCAACAACGGCGGTGGCATTTCCGCGGAGTCCGACGAGATCCTGTCGATCGCCATCAATGCCGCCGTCACAGCAGTGCTCCGGAAACCAAGCAGATGCTGGATCGGTTGATCAAACGCATCGGCAGCGTGGAGCTGCGTATCTCCTCCCACATCTACATCGGGCAGCTAAAGTCCGCCTATCTGCTGGCCAACAAGCACGAGCGATTGGGTGACATCCGGCGTATCCTGCGGCAGGCGGAGCTCACTGGCCAGGTTCATATCAAGAGGCTGTGCGAGATGAAGCTCCAGCTCAGCGCGCCACAACCGCCTCTGTGATAGCGTAACTCCTCGGGCAATAACACTCTGTTAATATTTTATTTAGGGGATTTCAATAACTTGATAAATACTAAATGATGATTTTTAGGTTGTGCCTTGTTGAATTCTTTAAGAAACTTCACATATCCAAATATGCTCAATCTCAATTAAATTGGGTATCAGGTATCTATTTTACAACATTTTAAAATCATCATTTAAGCATTTACATAGTGAGAGCCCTAACTTTATTTATCTGGGCTAGTATAGGAATTTGTTTTTAGAATTTAACATTTACTTAGATCAATTTTAACCTTTCCAAAGGGCCAGCAAGTATTCCACCCTCGAGCTCAAAAAGACTCTCCCAACAAGTAACCAAATTATATTATTATTGATTGTACTGTATTATCTCAATGTTATTTTTATATTAATTATACTGTTATATGTTTATTCCCAAAAGGGCGCGCAGTTTGAATTTTTTTGGGATTGCTAACACTGGTAAAGATGAATTAACAGCACTATTCGGAATGATATTTTGATAGTATAAATATATAAAATATCAAGCAATGCGGGCGGTTATACAGAGGGTTAAGGCCGCCAAAGTGACGGGTATGCTAGGACTCAAAAGCTTCTATCCCTTATATAGCTTTAGCCTGTTTTCATAGTGCTGGATGAGCTGGTGTCCTCGATTGGACCGGGCCTGTGTGTGCTGGTGGGAATCAAGGCCACGATACGGCCAAAGATGTTGAGTACCTGTAGGTAATTTCCAGACAGGTAAAAACCAGCCTAGCGAAGGATCACTGAGCATATTGATTACCTTTTTAGGGTCCGGAAAATCCTGGCCCTCCGCTTGTTCGAGGAGGAGGGCAAGCGGTGGCAAAAATCCGCCAAGGATCTCAATCTAGAGCTGCTCTGCGTCTCCCAGTTCACTTTGTACCACCGGCTCAAGGGCAACAAGCCGGATTTCTCGGCTGCCATGAAGGGCGAGGAGGCGCAAAAGCTGTACAATCACTTCTGGAGCGCCTAGGTCAATCCTACGATAGCAGCAAGATTAAAGGTGGGTCTCGGAGTTCCAGTATGTCATAATTTAAAATCATCCCTCTAACAGATGGCAAGTTCGGAGCCTACATGCAGGTGCACATAGAAAACGATGGACCCGTGACCATCAACCTGGAGAGTCCGGAGGAAAAGCAAACCAACGAGGAAGTGACAAGTAAAGACCAAATATACAAAGATCACATTTATGTACCACGGGGTTTTTATTTAGTGTTATTTTTTAGCAGCAACTTAAACCTACAAAAATCAGCGTACTAGTCCTTAGGCTTCTAACATCTCCAGATCCTCGATTCCCATGCCCTCCTCGAGCTTCTTCTCGAGCTCGCGCGCATCCACGTAGGTGATCTTCTCCTCGGGCAGGTCCTCCTCCATGAGGGCGGCCTCCTCCGCCGCCTCCTTGGCACGGCGCTCCCTGAGCCCAGCGGCTGGGGAGCGGATCAGGGACATGTTGCGCTGCACATCCTTGACATCCATCTGGATCTCGATCTGGCGACCCTTGCGCAGGCGCTCCATCACGAACTGGCTGGTGCGCTTCTCCTTGATCTCCGTCACCCGCTTGATGGCCTCCAGAGCCTTCTGCCAGGTCTCGCGGCTATATTTGATGGGCACGTTGCGGCGCTTCTCGAACTCGAAGCTGGGATCGATGGCCAGCTCCTTGCCGGCGGCCTTGCGGTGCGCCTTCGTCCAGCCGACCTTGCGGGGGTTCTTCTTCCGCTTGAAGGCCTTGTGGCACTTGCCCCGACAGAATTTGAAGATCTGCAAAGGAATGGAAGTGAACCAAAATAAACATCGCAGCACACGTAAACAGGACAGCCAATCGATCCTACCTTGCAGTCATTTCGCACGAAGTTCACCCCGTGGCCTGGGTATATCTTGCTGGAGCAAAAATAACACGTTTCAATGCGCATTTTCGCAAATTACGGCGTATAATTTGCGAAAAAAAACAAAGCGCAAGCAGCTAGCACGTGTGCTGCTGAAGAAGAAGAGAGATGAAAGTGTATCGGTATCGGTGTTGAGCAGTGTCACAAGTGTTGCCAATTTAGCTATTTGAAAAGTGACGCTATCTTAGCTTAAAAATCATCTGGTAGCTTCATGTAATTCGGTGCCCTAAGATTCCAAACTGTCCAACTTTTAAAATTTTCAAATTTAATGGGTGACAAAGGTTTTTGGGACGAAGAAAATAAACGATCTTCGGCATTGGCATTCGCTGATAAGGAATCGATACCTAAAAGGAGCTAGACAATATAGTTAGTAGCTAAAAATTGGTTGTTAAGTCGCAGCAAAAGGTGGTTGCCATTTGATTCACAAACTAGGGGATTAATAAGTTGTCAAAATATTGAATTCATAAAATTTTCACAACTTTCTTTTCAGTTTTGTACATCTACTATTTGTTAGGCTCGTGAAAAATATTAATATTCTCATAAAAGGTAGAAAGGTTTAAGGTTTAGACAAGTTAGATACGTTTTGGAAGTTTTTATAGAAGCTCGATATAAGAAAAAGCTTTACTTTATAAATTTGATTTTATGTGCTCTTACATTCTGGAGCATTGTACCAAAATTTATTTTCTTAAAACGAACATTTCATCACAGGCAATCATAAATGTATTAATTGTTCATAGAACAAAAATATAAAACTTAAACATTTCTTGAATTCATAACTCTTAATAACACAAGCATAGCCCTAAGAACGCGGCAGTCTCTGAAAAGATACAAGAGTGATAACATCAATAAATATTTATTTAATCCAGTTAAATAAATAAATAACAAGTTTAAGTAAAAACATTTTTTGGAATAGCTTCATTCCATCAGCTGCTTCAATTCCCTGATCCGACTCAAGATGCGCGGGTTTATGAACTCGGCTACGTTGCAGCTGGGCTCTTGCTCCGCGATATCCGGCTCCTCATTGGCAACTTCGCTGCAGGTACCCCATTCCTGGTTTCATTATCGAACTGGATGCGAAATGGACCAAAATTTGGGCTCAGATTAATGAACACGGTGAGAAGTCGTGTCCGGATATCAACGGTGCTATCTTTATGCCTTGGCCAGTTCCACTTGTACCAAAATTCTCCCAAGTCTCGGAGCACATACTCCAAATCAGATCGCAGCTCGGGTGAGAGATGGGGGAATAGGCAGCTCAGCAGAGGACCACGCACGTTGCACAACCTTTCGTCAATCTTGACCAATGCGTCCTGATAAGTCACACCCGGTAGGAGTCCTTCAATGCGATACTTCATGATTTGCTGAACAGTTAGTCGGTTAAGAAAACAGAAGCGATCCAGGTCGCGGAATACAACGGTGCGCTGAAGAGGAGAAGCGCCAAGGGGCTCTGGAGCACGAGGCTCGGCCAAAACAGTATCAGTAGGTTCTTCATTTACCTGGCGAGTGTTGACGTTCGTGGAATCTAGCAGGTGCTGCAACTGGGTGCATTCCAGAAGTGTGTTTCCAGCGGCGAACTCCTGCGAGGGAGTGATGGTGGCCTCTGCCGGTTGCGGCGATGGTGCATTTTGAAGACTAGGAGGTTTCTCCAACATGTTCTTCTCTGCTGGCTGATGCGTCGCCGTTGCTTGACAATCTGTTCGATAATTCCCTTCAGACTCAACACGCACCATTATACCAATCGGCAGCGGCTGGAACTCATGTCGCAGCTGTGGCACCTTTTCATTAACCAACTTAATTCGTTTACTAGGCAATTCTACGGATGGTGATCGTCTCTTTCCCAGAACCACAGGAATCTGAATCTGCGCGGGCTTGGATTGATCGAGCGTTGGAGCCACATTGGCCGGCAATGAGGTTGGGGCTTCCAACATATTAAAGTTCTCGTCAGTTTCGTTGCCATTCTCACACAGGATCAAATTTAGCTTCTCGCCTGCTGCCATCTCTTTTGGTTTTGGGATGGCAAACAGGACAAACTCGATCCTTCATTTTGGCTGGCATCCAAGTCTATTATTTGCTCCTGGGCGTGATTTCTTCCCATTTGCAATCTTCGGAGCTGGAAATGGTGGCACGTTGGTTGTTGGGCAAACTTATAGGCTCCTTCTTGACCGTCACCAACACCGTCGACGTTGGCAAATGATCAGTAGGAGGAGTTTCTGGAATTGTTTCCTCTGGTGTTAGTGGATCGTCTGCCAGTTGTGGCACTTGGGAAGCTGGGTCCACACACTCTATGTCCACAAAGTTTGAACTGTTGAGCTGAGTGGGCGGACAAGTGGTTTCATCTGGAAGGTAAGTTATAATTAGAATACAAGTTTTTTCAAATTCTCGTCGATTACTTACCACACACTGTATCAGAACTTGAGGAAATTGAAACAATTCGGTGGACTATTTTCATCTGCGCATTTCACACCACAAATTGGCCCTAGAAATAAAATTAATAAATAACCTGCAGAAATTATTCCGCAAAATAAGGCTCACTTAATGAAATCCCATCGAGAGACGGCTCAACTTCTCCAATTTCGGCATTCAGTACCTCTTCGTCGATCTGAGGTACCCGTGAAATCCACATGTTACGTGTCCAACAAGCCGCATATAGTTTCTCCTCTCTTGGCACAACTGGACTACATCATCAATTATATCGCCGGTGTGATAGGTGTACTCCTCTTCGACGATCTTGTCGAAATCCGAGTAGGAACCTAACTCCCAAGGGCTCAGTATTTTTGGCGATATACGTGACAGTTCCAGCTTATCCAGCTGCACTCCTTTACTATGGAGAAGGTGTTTTAAAAATCCCAAACGGACATATAGATTAATTGGCCAGTTGCCAAGACCCACGACATGGTGAAAGCAACACTGTAAGTCTTCGTCGGCTTTGTACAAGGCCTCCGCGTCGTGGATACTGTGTATTGAGAGAATTCCTGAAGGTTAGTTGGTAGAGTATACGCCAAATGGTTCTCATGAGGCCTTGGCTTGTGCAGATCATGTACCTCATATTGTGATCCTATTATGGGTGGAATAAAAATGATTTTCTTAAATTTTTTTTTAAATATTATTCCTACCCTGTCATTTTCGGCGAAAAATATATCTTTAGCTTGGCGGAAAAGTATTTCATTATCTGTACTTCGGGGTGAATTCGGTGCAACTGCAGGATTTTCATCTGTTCTCGTCGATACCCCTTCATCTCTGGAAATATTTTCTGATACGCTTTTTGGACTGCTTGGACTTGTTCCTTGATTATTGGACGTTTCGACCTGGATCTCCATTCCATTCGCCTGTACTACTTATCTACTGGTTGCATTGAACTTTCCTCCAACTCATTCTCTTTAGAGGCAGTATTAAGCTTGGTGGGGCTGTTGCATGATCTTCGCGGACTTATCGACCTCGATGGGACTTGAAGTTCGTACGGGCTGATTTTCTTTTGCTGCATTGTTCCAGTTTCATCAGGATTGGTATCTGCATGCAAACGTTCCTTTTGAGCCAAGCGGTAGTGATTGAATTGAATTTTAAGAGAAGCTTGCATTTCCGGAGAGGTGTACCATCAAACAAGTAGGTAAACATATTGTGGGCCTCGAGTTCAACCGCATCGATCTCTGGTTTGCTAAACAAAAAATTACCAATTTACAGAACATTTTGTTTCGTGGTATGCAATTTAGCTTAGGGAAATGGCTTACTTACCAATTTAATTCTAAAACCCTGGCTGCATTACAATCGTCCGAAATGTGTAACGATTTTACAACTGTTTGTTCATTATGCGATCCATTATCTCAACTGGAAGAAAGTGGTTTATTTCGGGATGAGTGACAACATCAGAGGCGATCAAAGTAGGCTTGGATTGATTTTCTAACAGCGGTTGGTTAGCTATAGGCGTCGCTTTCTTTTCGTTTTTTGTTATTTGCCTGCAGCAATTATAAACATTTTATTATGTGGAATGAAAAAATAAACACGGTATATACCTTTCTTTTCTTTTTGGTATAACATTTCTGGGTACCGCAAAAACCGCATGGCTGTTTGGCTTATCTTCACTTTCCTCGCTGGGTTTCTCTGCGGTAGAAACATCCTGGCATCAGGTTCCTTTGGAAATACCTCTCTAGTTCTTGTCGGAAGTATTAGCAACTTTTCTAGCATTTTGCTGGGACATGGCTTGAAACGGCAAACGAATTTGTCCCTCATTTCCTGTTCAGAATAGAAGCCTTGATAATATTCCTGAATAACATCCTCCTTGGATTTATCTTTGTACTCGGGACACAACAGCATTTCAGTAGCAATTTCATTCAGATTGCTTACATGGTGTTTGAACGTTTTGAAAGATACTGGAGGAGGTATTTGGCCGCTGCAATATATCAAATGTTAAAAGGAAATGCGGAAAATAACACACCTCTTACGTACCTTTTCTCGGTAACATCTTTGGTTTTCTCTATCACATTGTTGGAACTGGCGCGTCTTTCCTCGCAGGGTTTCTTTGTGGTACAAACATCCTGGAAATCTGATTCATTTGACAAACCTTCACAGCACTCGGTGAACGCTGCTCTACTGGTTTCTCGGAGGACGAGTCACTTGGATTTCGATTGCCTTCGGAATATCCTTCTTATCTTCTGAGGCAAAGAGACACATAGTTTTTGTGGCTGCCTCATCTAATGGTTTTGCGCTTTCTAGCAATTTGTTCAGCATGTTGGAATCCGTGCAGTTAAATTTATATGGAATTTTTTTGCGAAATTTCTCGTTGTGTACATAGAATCTATTGTACGACTGGCGAAAAAGTTTTCTGCACTGTGGATTCGACGTATCAGCAATTAATTCTTTTAGTACACCCTCATTTCGAGCGTAATGTTTCTTTAGAATAATAGGAATAATCTCGTCGTAATTAATATAGTTTCGAAATGTATCATAAGAAACAGGAAAGCTAAAGCGACCCCACCTAGGAATATTAGGCAACAGTTAATCGAAAGTCAAGAAATTTGAATTTATGTTTCCTTACTTTCCAATGCTCACTTCAACATCAGTCTTAAAGGGAAGGCTCCTAAAATGGTAAATTATAGGTTTTATTTTTGAAAGAAAAAAAATTTAGGGATACTTACTCAACAATTTGATTCACACTATTAGCTTTTGCAGGGGACCTCTCAGGTGTCTTCGACCTGTGTTGTTCGAGTCCAGCCGAAGGTATAGCTAACTGCGGCAGTTTTACCATGCTAATGATCCTTGGAAAGAGTATATATTTTATTTATTTATAATTTTTTGGATAACACAATTTAAAGAAACTTACTCAACAATTTGATTCCCATTTTTGGCTTTTGCTGGGAACCTCTCGGGACTCTTGGTCCTGGGCTGTTCGAGTCCTGCCGGAGGAATAGCTAATTGCGGCAGTTCGACGACCTCCTCCTTGCTAATAGTGCTTGGGAAGAAAATATAATTCGTTTATTTATAGTTTTTTTTGGAAAAAATATAATTTATTGATACTTACTCTACAACTTGATTCACACTATTAGCTTTTGCAGGGGACCTCTCTGGAGTCTTGGACCTGGGCAGTTCGAGTCCTACAGAAGGAATAGCTAACTGCGGCAGTTCGACGGCAACATCCATGCTTATTATTCTTGTAGAGAAAATATAATTTTTTTATTAAATTTGTTTTGGAAAAAATATAATTTACTTACTCAGAGACTTCTGTGGACTCTTTGGCCTCTTGAGATCTTGTTACATTTTCTTCTACAGCTTTAGCTTTTTCAGTACACTTCTCGGGACTCTTGTGTAGGGGCAGTTGAAGAGCTGGCGAAGGATTGGCTAGTTGCGGCAGGCTTTGTCTCAGTTCCTCGGCACCTTCTTGCTGAGAATGGCTAGCATGCGAGCCTGCATGGTCGACGTTCCTGGCAACAGGTCATACTCATACTTCTCCCGGATCTCTGGAGTTATGTAAAATGCCAGATAGAAGTCAAAGGCACACTCGTGGAAGTCCTTGCTCTCATAATAATTGTCCTGTTGCTTCATCTGCTCCACAATGTCCGATAAGTTCGACAAATTCTCCTTGAACAACACAAATGTGACGATGGATCTTTGGAATATTTAAAGACGCAATTAGGGACATACATGTAGATAAGAAATTTTTCGATGCTCACTTGTTTTCAAGCGCCTTTTTGGCAGCATACTCTGCCATACTCTTGACGGCCATTGCGTCATGCGGTCTTCCAGATTTGAGCAACCTAGCCAAAAGGATATCTGGCACTTCCTTGAATAAGTTCTTAAGGATCGCTTTTCCGGATGCATATAGAAGCGGTTATAGAACTTTCTAAGAAGCTGCATTCGATACTCGTCATCGGCCGCAAGCTTTAGATAATCCTGGCTCCTGGCGATCCTTTTAAATACCTCCATCTTGTTGAGGTTCTTTTCGAATATTTAAAGGATACCGGAAAGACGAAGGTGCCAGCTCTGAAAAGAGATTCGAAAGTTGGTAATGCGCTCAGTTTGAAAAGGTTGCGACTCACTTGTCCACTCTAACCGTAACACCGTGGCTGTCTGGTGATGAATCGCTCTCTGATTTGACTATATCGTTGGGTGTGGGTTGCAACTGGCATTCTGCAACCATCGCCTCGGATTCTGGTTCCGGAAGCGGTGATGCTTCTTGGCGGGAATGTGATGCGTCGATGATGTTTTCAGACGTATTTGCAGGCTCGGGCACCTTGAGCAATTTCGTGCGGGTCCGCCCGGGACATGGTACGACCTTAAACGGGTACTGCTCCCGAATACTGGGATTCCGGTAGAATTCTTCGTAGTACCATCGAGTCCAGTGGTCTAGCGTTTTACTGCCATTATCGGCAGCCTTCAACTGGAGTGCTATTTCTGGCAGGTTTACAATCAACCTTTGAAATTCCTTAAAGGAAACGGGATAGCTGCTATCTCTAAAAGTAGATATTTTCGGCATTTAAGCTGCAGTTCAGTCGAGAGAATTTTCCATGAACTTACCGCTTCCCTGTTGAGGTTTTGTCATTTGTCACAGACATCACAATAATTAACAAAAACCATTAAAAATCAAAGACGCAACTTAAACCGCGTAAAATTTGCAAAAGTTAGGGTTTGTGTGACCGTGCCAGTGATCCTTAAAAATACCACCTGATGGCCAATAGCCAAAGTTATCGAGTATTCGATAACAATAGACAACTAAGCGAAGACACGGGCGAACAAGGATTAAGTTCTGATTCTTGGTTAAAATGATTTTGAAAATAATTAATTAAATTAAAATTAAACATGTACCTTTTAAAAGAATTTTACACTGAAAAATATCATGCCTACACCCCATACCCAAGTCCAATAAGAATTCTGTGTTATAATTTCAGAAAGTACCTCATTATAATTTCAATTCCCATTAATATGTGTTAAATTCGTATGTGTCTAATGTTCCAACTATTTAAAATGATTTCACCTGTTCTCCGATAGCACCGACGACATCAGCTGTTGCGCCAGCTGCTCTTCAGCACCAGCTCTGGTCACACCTCCAGCATCCAAACAACAATTCCGCAGGGCAGAGCAGCCCCCAAAAAGTGGACACATCACCGAGATCGCGAACGAGATCTTGCTGACGTGCGACCAGATGCAGAGCCCCGCCTTCGCGTATCGGGAACTCGCAGATCACTCGCCGCGCGCCATGTACATGCGCGACTGGCGGTCGGCCCTGCGGACGCCCACATACCGGATTGGGAATAGGACGGTGCGCTTCAACTACCACTTCGCCCTGCTTATCGCCTGCGCCCTCATTCTGGCCCTGCTCTTCTACTTTTCGCGCCAGGGCTCGCACTCTTCCTCCTCCTCGGACGGCTACTGGCTGCGCAGGGGATTCACGGAGGCCCGGAGTCTGGACAATGGTGCGGTGGTCCATGTCTACAATGCCACATATCCACTGACGCCGCCCATGGTGCTGCGTGGCGGGGTGATCAACTACCGGATAGCCATGATAGCCGACCTGGACACCAACTCCAAGGTGACCAAGAGCGACGGCAGCATCACGTGGCGAAGCTACCTGAAGAAGGGCTACCTCACCTACACGGTGGCCAGGGCCGAGATCCAGATCAGTTGGGATGATGGGGCGCCCACGGTGCTGGAATCTGCATTTTCGCTGAAGGGTCGGGGTATGGAGCTCTCCGAGCTGGTCACATTTGACGGGCGCCTCCTCAGCTTCGACGATCGCACGGGACTGATATACGAGATTGTGAACGACAAGCCCATTCCCTGGGTGATCCTGCTCGATGGCGACGGGCACAGTGCCAAGGGCTTCAAGTCCGAGTGGGCCACAGTGAAGCAGCAAACACTATATGTCGGCTCCATGGGCAAGGAGTGGACGACAAGTGCGGGCGACTTTGAGAACAACAACCCCATGTACGTAAAGGCAATCTCGCCGTCCGGTGAGGTGCGGTCCCTCAACTGGGTGGACAACTTCAAGCAGCTGCGCCTGCAGTCGCAACAGATACCTGGCCAGGCTACATGATCCACGAGAGTGGACGTGGTCTGACGAAAAGCATCGGTGGTTCTTCCTGCCCAGGCGCTGCTCTAAAGAAAAGTAAGGATGCTTATCAGTCTGTTAAACCACTACTAACCCACCTATTTCCCGCAGATACAACGAAACCAAGGACGAGTACATGGGCTGCAATGTCCTGGTGTCCGCCGACGAAAGCTTTACGAATATCGACACCGTACGCCTTGATCCTGAGAATACGACGCCCACGCACGGCTTCTCGAGCTTCAAGTTCCTGCCCGGCACTGATGACTCCATTATCGTGGCCCTCAAGTCGGAGGAGCTGAACGGCAAGACGGCCACCTTCATAACAGCCTTTGACATTACGGGCAAGACACTGCTGCCCGAGGTGCGGATCGAAACGGATTACAAGTACGAGGGATTCGAGTTCATTTAGCTCGTCATCCCACGCCATACCACCACACTCCACTCGACTTCGATCCAGGTGCTCCAGTTTTAAGTGTGTACATAATGTATTAATGTCCCATACGGTAAGCTTTATATTTATAGTCAGCTAGGTTAGTCCAGAGATGCTCATCTGCCTCGTGACCCGTGACTCCATATCCCGTCTTGTACCATAGCACAAATCCAATTTAGTTTATTTTTATTGAAATTGAAATATAAAACGTACAAAGCCGGTGGCAAACTCAGAAATCCCCTGGATCACATGACTTTAACTTTGGCATCCAATCCGGCCACCAGAAGATCTGCTTCATCCACGCGTCCCTCGCTGGCACGCACCTCCAGTCGATCGGCGTTGTGGTTGACGTTCCAGAGTTCGGGAAGGAAGCGGGGTTGCATGGTGTGCAGGAAGTGCTCTCGCCACAGCCGTTCCAGCTCCACTAGGCCGCCGAAATATTTGCGATACTGCTGAACCACCCGCTCGCCGTGCTGGCAATAGTCGGCATTCTCCACTCGGTATTTCACGCTGGCCGCCTGGCGCAGCAGGTCTTCCGTGACCTCCGTTTGATCGATATAGTATTCGAGGAGTGTTTTCTGCATTTCCGCCACCTTGGCAGCGGGAATTTTGGCGCCATGGTGGAGTAGGGCCTTGCCAGCGGTTTGAACGCGTCTGGAAAGTACAAAAATGATTACATATTTTATAACAACTAGTTTAAAAAAATGTTTCGGAAGTAATGTGGAACAAGTATGATAACACACGTCTGGAAAGATAAGAATTCGCGAAATGTGTTTATACTCCTCTAAGTTAAGCTCAAAATCATACTTGTTCAAATGTTCCTTACATTCAAAAGTGTATAAATACTAACCTAAGCTCCGGATCATCGCGGTACTTGATGGATCCGCCTCCGTGCTTGAAAGGAGCTTCACACTGGTCGGCCAGTTTGTTGCGCACCCTAAGATCGGAGATGTTGCTCAGCTGGTGGCAGGCGGGACAAAGGAGAGCACGTCGTGGGAGGTGTGCGACTTCATGACCATCGGAAAATGCTTTCTGTACTCCCGTGGCACCACATTTTTCCGGATGTAGGCATCCCGGTCGCCGCACACCACGCACTGGTTTTCCTTTATTGTTTGGTAGTAGCGACCTACATCGCCCACAGCTCGTCCCGCTGGTTCGAAGTTAAGGCGGACGGTGAAGGGCTCCTCGCTAATTTGGGTCCCCAGGTTTTGGCTTAGATACCAGGATGCCTTCCGTCGGTCAATGGTGCAAAGGAGTTCGCCATCGGGCGCCTGCAGCAGGCAGTTGTCGTAAAAGTCCTTGGACCGGGTGGCCATTTGGCGGTATGGTTGCTTCCTTTGCAGTCCATTCTTTCCTTTGCTTTGTGCCAAACCCTTTGAACGCGTAACTCCGCTGAGTGAGAAGCCCTTGGTAAGTCGACGTCCAGAAAGGCTTCGAACGTGGTGCGCAGGTTTTTGTCGTCCTCTGGACACCGCTGCCAAAAGTGTCTGGGCTGCAGATCCCTGCACAACTTCTGGTAAATGGCCACGGCCACCAGGGCGTCGTTGGCAGCATAATCGAGTTGCTTTGGTTCCAGCTGCTTGGCCTCCCAGTTGGAGCACGCCAAGCGCCAGTGCTTGTCCAGTTTGTAGTTCAGATGTGTCTGGGAGAGCTTGCCCAGACCTTCGGGCTTGTGGTTCGCCATGACACACAGGAAGCGCAGATCCAGAGTGCTCGCCACGCCCACTCCGTAGTCGTGGGAGAGCTTCACGGCATCTTCCTGCGGGGCCACCCCCACTTTGATCACGGCATCGTCCTCGAGCAGCTCTCGCAGGTCCTTGGGTATCTGCTTCATGTGACAGAGCCGGAATAGGGCACACAATCCTCGGTGGGAGCTCAACTGGAGGAGGGCCACTGGTCGCCGGCTGCCGCCCACGGTGATCCATTCGCAGTCAAATCCTAGGACTTTAAAAGTCTCGCAGTGGCTGAAGGGGAGGTGTTTTAATAAATAACTGGTTGGATAAGGATAATGTGCAATACTCACGTCTTTAGTTCATTCAAAACCCATCGCGTGGCAGGATCCTGGACGGAGTTGATCACTTCTATGTGACGCTGGGGCAGTAGGCAGTTGGAGGACCACACGCGACGCAGGGGACCTAGTAGCTTCTGCCTGTGCCGCACCAGAACGTAGACCAGGCCCAGGCCGGCAGCTACAATCGCCCATTTCCTGGTGCTAGCGACTCCTGATTCCTGGCTCATTGTTTTCCATTCGGAGAGAAACAGCTGACTGAAGAACTGTCAACTTGGGTTTTCTAAAGAACAAACTAGCTAGAAAAGCCGTAACGGAAATTTGAAAATGTTGCTGTAGAGATAATTAAAAAGTTAATATTTGCTGCAGTAATACATATATATATCATTATTAGGTATACGTTGTACATTTAAGGAGCCTTTAAGAGCTAGTTGAGAATTTTTTGACTTTTAGCTTTATTTTTGTTTTAGCCAAAATAAGACCGTTAAAAATGTGGCAGCATTGGCGGGGCTGTGCGTAAGCGGGGTGGCAGCTCTGGTCCGCAGGCTTTTCCGAAATCGTCGTTTAACCGAAAAGTTTTAAAATGTTTAATTAAACGCGAGTAAAACAAACTTACAATGAATAAAACCCTGTGAAACGGGCGGCGGGGAAACGATGTGCGAGTGAAAACTGCGGAAAAGGAGGCAGCAGAAAGAGACACAGAGCGTAAATAAAGGAAGACAGTTGAGAAAATCGATTTTTCAGTGCAGGTGAGACACCGTTAGACACCCCACTCACATGCACACACACTTATGCAAAATGCCTTTACAGGATGCTGAAATTCTGAAAGGATTTTGAAATTGTAGAGAAGAAACCCCCAAAATGCCGGAGAACCTTGAGCTGCAGCAGTTCCAGGAGGGCGCCCCGCCCCCAGATCCCGCCCCCCGTTGGTTGGAGCGCCTGCAGCGGAGATTGGGCGCCGATTGTCCCTATTTGGGCATCCTTTTGGCCACGCTCTCCTCGCTTTTCTTCTCCCTTTGCTCGGTGATTGTCAAAGGACTGGTGGACGTGAATCCCATGGAGCTGGCCTCGTTCCGATTCGTGGGAGTCCTGCTGCCGGCACTTCCCATCCTGATTTACACCCGGCAGCCGGTGTTTCCGGAGGGCAAGAGGGTGATCCTACTGCTGCGATGCTTCATGGGCACCACGGGTCTGATGCTCAGCTTCTACGCCTTCCGGCACATGCCACTGGCCGATGCGAGCGTCATCATCTTCTCCACGCCTGTTTTTGTGGCCATCTTCGCACGGGCCTTCCTCAAGGAACCGTGCACGCTTTTCAATGTCCTGACCATCAACATGACTCTAATTGGAGTGGTCCTGATCACACGGCCACCCTTTGTATTCGGTGACTCCGGAGAGAGGGAGGATCTCGCTGGAAAGACGTATGACATATGGGGACCCGTGGCAGCCATCTCATCCACGCTGTTCGGAGCCAATGTGTACATTCTGCTGCGTGCCCTTAAGAACCTGCACTTCTCCGTGATCATGACGAACTTTGGACTGTTGCTCTGGTCTACACCTTGATGTTTGTGGATCCATTGGAGCGGTGTGCTGGCCCAGCTGCGGAAGGGATCGTTGGCTGGTTGTGGTGCTCGGTGTGTTCAGCTTCCTGGGACAGATCCTGCTCACTCTATCCCTGCAATTGAGCAGGCCGGACCGGTGGCCATTGCCCGCTGCGCGGACATCGTCTTCGCCTTCGTCTGGCAGATGCTTTCTTCGGCGAGACACCCACCGCCTACTCCCTGGTGGGTGCCGTCATGGTGATGGGATCCGTGGTCCTGACGGCACTCAAGAAGTGGGCAGGCACCCTGCCACGCGAGTCCTCGCTGAGAAAGCGATTCAGACTCATCCTGCTGGAATAGAGAATTCCAATCTAATCAAAGAAGTTCGCGGTTTCTCCCCCGTCTTGCCATCGTTCTCACCCAACCCCTGCCAGCATCAGAGGCAGGCACCAAACCAGTTCACTCATCGTAGACTTAACTTATATCAAGGCTCAGATCGTAGTTTAATCAAAGGAAATCAGAATGGTCGCGTGATAACCACTCCACTCATAAGTAAATACTCGTAGTGCGTGTTTAGTTTAGCCAATTTCGCCGATTTGTTGTTTTGTACATTGTTATACATGCTTAAAATACGATAATAAATACAACTTATGAGTAAAAATAGCCACATGTTTATAACTTCTTTTAAATTTCGCGCGGGTAAATTGTCTTCCACTGTGTCATGCTTCTACATTTTACATTGTTTCTACCCATGGACTTAAATTTAGGTAATTCAATATAAAAATAACTTTGTTCTTTGTTTTTATTTAAAAATTTAAAAAAATTTTATTTTTTTCAGATATTCAGTGGAAACGCAGAAATATGTGGCAGTGGAAGCCGTTTGTAAAAGATGATTCTCAGAAGTACAATCGATATATCGATTGCAAATGCAGTTTACTTCCACCTCTAGATTTTCGTTTGTTTATTATTGTTTTGCAAATCAAATTGTATTATTAAATTTATAATATAGGTAATAAATTATATTCTCGAAGCACATACACTCGAAAAACAGAGCAAGGAACGGAAACAGAAACAGAAGGCAGGCTATATCTAGGACTAGAAGCCCAGGTCGGCGATAACCGCGTCCAGTTCGTCCTGCAGATTGGTGGCGCGCGATCGCACCTGCACAATTTGATCCTGCAAATTGTCGACGTTCGCCTGGAGCAGCACGTTGCACTTCTTCATCGCCGCAAACCGGCTCTCGTGCTTCTTCACCCGCGGCTCCACATTTGCCTTCTTCACGGAGTTCGGCGAGTCCTGCGAAATATTATTGGGAAAGTCCAGGTGAGTCGATACAAAAATCAAGGATAATCATAACTCACCTCCGGCTCGGACTCGCTGCCCGTCTCCGCCTCACTTTCCTCCGAATCCGACTCCTCGGACTCGTCGTCGGATTCCTCCTCCCCTCGCTGGCATGCTCCTCCTCGGCCTCCTCTTCGTCCTCGTCTTTCTCCTCGCCATCTACGTCGTCCTCGTCCAGCTTCATCGAGGCGGCCATCTTCTGCACCTCTTTCTCCAGCTTCTTGAACTTCTTGTTCTCCTCCCTGCAATAGAAAACCCAGTTAAAACCAATCCACTTGTAATATTCAACCTCCCAAAGCCCGTGCTCACTTCAAGATCACATGGTTCTTCTTCATGGCCTGCTTGA